CCACGTAAACACACATCATAACAGAGGTGGTCTTAAATAAACAAACAAACAAGCAAACAACAATAACAAAAAAGGCTTCTCTGCTTCCTGGGACAACAGGTCTGGGAGGAATGCTAACTGGGCAGCAGACCTCTTCTTCCAAACTCAAATCACGCCACAGCAGCTCCTCCCCCACAGACTAGCACCCCACACCTCCAGTGCCCACACACGGAGATGTGTTTATTTATTCATATAAGGCGCATTGCTGAGTCCTTACTCTGAACTCGCCCTGCATTAAATGCAGCAGCTTTTGAGAATTGGCCCTGGTCTCGAAGGCGTACAGAGACTAGTAAAAGGGGTTCAATTCAAGCCAAATATGTGTGCATGAATGTGTATTTATATTTATATATGATATTTACATGCCCATATACATGCACACAAAGAGAGACACAGAGAAAAGACATACATACAAAAAAAGGAAAGAGAGAACAGAGTTTGAGCTGAGAAAAACAGGAACAAAACTACTGAACTGCCAAGAGGTCAGAAAGGGGGAATCTCACCAAATCTCAGACATGAGAGCCCAGTATTGAAGCAAGCAATAATTATAGTCATTTGTATTTAGTGCTGCTTACATGCCATGAACTGGGCTAAGACATTTCTAAGCACTATCCCGACAATCATTTTTCACGATCTTTGTATCCCCATTTTATAAATTAGAAAACAGCTCTAAGGGGTGAACTAATGCCCATGATTATCTAGCTAGGAAGCAGCAGGGCCAGGATTGGAAGCCAGATTTCCGTGGCTATTAAGCCCAAATTTTACTTCATATAGGAGATGAGAAAATGCCCAAAATGTCTATGTCAAAAAACAACAGCATAGTAATTACCACTAACTGCTCAGCTTACACAGGGAGGCCAGACAGGAGCTCAGCCTTCAAGATGCAGGAAGAGTCAGGGTCCAGACTCCAGTCATCAGGCCTCAGAGAGCAGTGCTGGAGCCAGACAAGGTGCACAGGCCTGCCTGCCGGAAGGAGAGCCGTGCTCTTCTAGGGGCGACTGGCCAGGTGGGGCAGTCTGGGAAGGTTTGTAGAGACCGTGTCCAAGCCTGGCCATGTCTTGAATAACACAAGAAATGAGGCTGAGAAAGACATAGTCTAGAGGATCCGGGGCAAGAATGAGGACATCTGGTCCAGGAACCACAGGTGATTCAGGATTCCATCCTCTGTACTATGGTACATCTTCTAATGAGCTGCTGAGGGCTTTTGGTTGTTTGTGAAAAATAACTGCCACACCCCTAGGACACACATGCTCCTCGCCCAGAGATGATTTAGAGCAATTCACCACAAAATTCCATACCACCTTCACCCCTGCAGGAAGTTCTTCAGAGTGCCATTTGGAATATGCAAGGATGAGTTTTGAATCTGCGGGAAGGAGGAGGAGGCTGCTGCTCAAAGCAAAAACACTGGTTTCCTTTGATGAAAGCAAGGCCCACTTTCCTCGCCTCACCAGCAGGCTGTGAACAACGTCCCTGGACTCTCCCACTGCTATGGGAAGGACCACGGGCACATGGGGAACCCAGATGTGCAATCAGCTCAGCTTCCCTGTGGTTGCTAGATCTGCTTTTACAGCCAAAGGGGTTCTCTGTCTCAGACTTAATTCTTCATCGGTGAAATGGGCTGACATCAGCCTGCATGGGTTATGAAAATTAGAGACAGCCCAGGCAAAGTGATTAGCACAGTGCCTATTACCTACTGAGGAGGGGCTCCGTAAACCGCAGTTACTACAACTATACCACCACTGCTATAATTCTGCTCTATCTTCTCCCCTCCCTATTACCAAACGCTGCCTCACATGCCCTCCTCCTACCTCTCTCTCCCTTGTGTGCCCTCGCCACATAGTACTTTACTTTAGAAAAATTCCGTCTGCTCTCATTCTCGTAAAATTTCCAAATAAAAATCTCATCTCTAAAACTAGATCAAAACTCTCAAAAAAAAGGTAGGGTTGAGACAGACGTGGAGGGTGGTCTTCTGATACGTGTTAAGAATCCTGCAGAGCACTGAGCCTGGCCCTGGGCACACAGGAGAGCACAACAACTGGTGGTCTACACTCCAGTGCTGTCCTACAACACCTGCGCCTCGGTGCTGAGAACTGAAAGGGGACTGTGTACCAACCAGGTCCTGGAAACCTGAGACCACAGATACATCACTAAATCTGGCACAAACCTTAAGATGTTTGTCTAGATTGCACTGTCATCTTTCCCTGGTATAAGACATGTCTTTCTCTGCCCCAGAGACTCTTTGGGTCCACAATACCTTCCCAGTTTTGTTCCTAAAACATGTGCATGGAAATTCATCTTTTCAAGAAGCGTTCGTCCTTTTGGAATAGTCAATATATGGGAAAGCGGAGTAAATGGGTTGTAATAACTACCCAGCAACTGTATTATTTCCAAAACCAGGAATGTGTTCACACTGAAAGTACGGTAATTCTGTGAAAATCCTAAACAGTTACTGGGATTAGCTCCTCAAGAGCTAATGTGTTCCCTGCAGCAAGAAGCAAGCAACACAAAGGCAGAACAAGCTGTGCACCACACACTGGACATCTTCCAGGAGCCGGAAGCTGAGGCGGGGGGGGGGGGGGGTGCTTCCAGACAGTTGTCCAGAGAGGGCATTCAACTCTGCCAGGCAGCTTGACGCCACACTCCCAATTTTCTTCTGCACGTGAATACAGAATTGCACAGGAGAAGAGAGCTATTTTTTGCTCAATATTCTTCACAAGCCCTCCTGACTTCTCTTTTTCAGTGATGACAATAATAATGACATAAACCTAAGCAATGACCAAGTCAGTATCGGGGTGCATTATACACGAACCTTACCTTTATTATCTCAAATATTCTTCAGACATTATGTGAGATTTGGAAATTTAAAATTCAAGTGCATTGTAATAAAGAAAGTCAGTTCTATAAATACCGACGAAAGTGTCATAATAAACGTTTCTGTTTTGATCAAATACTACACATTTGTCTGCTTAAAAAAAACAACAAAAAAAACTGCTGCTAAAAGTGCTCTTTGCAGCCCCCCAGTGGTTAGAAGCGGAAAGAAGAAAGAACCGGGTGTTCAGGCGGCAACTTTACTCTGCAGAGCTGATCATTGGGAAGACAAATGGCTTGTTTTCACCTCGAAATGAATATATATATTCCAAGTGGGCATGTAAAAAGTGTTGGTTAAAATGAACATAATAGTTAACATGAACGTGAATCACTGAAATCCTGGATTTTTTTTTCTTTTTAATCTTTCTCATCTCTGCAAAACTTTCCATTCTGACCTGAGAACTCAGCAGTGTATGAGCAGACCAGGTCCCGCAAACACATCTTCCCACACGTGTTTCCCATTTCTTTACTTGCTGTGACCTCCCTTGTTTGTAGACATCTGCCTATAAATATACCATCTGCTCTACCACGAAGTGATGAGAAATCTTCAAAAATATGCCATTTGACTGTTTAACCGAAGGTCTACATTGGGGAAGAGGTTTCGAAGTTCACTGGCTTTAATTTGTGTTCACCCAAACTACATTCTCTCAAGATGACCCCTTCCTATCAGGAACTCATTTTCGAAATATTTTGTCTTCCAAAAAAAAAAAAAAAGAAAAGAAAGAAATGGCCTCTCCAGTATAAAAGGATGGAAGAATTTGATGAAAAGATACAGGATACCTGCTTAGAAAATAGTTTCGAAATCATGTCAGAAAAAATTAAAATATTACAAGATAAACAGAAACTCTCCTATTCTCCAATGTATCACTTTCACGTTGCAAAAGAGGCGTTCCCAAGCCCAGAAGAGGTTAATGGCCTGCCTCTCCCTTCCTCATCCCCCAAAGAGTAATTACACCTGGTATACATTTTCTCCCTGGCTGGTAAGCTGTGGTTCAAAGCCAGCCTGAAAATCAGATTAGCTCTAAGAGGGAGCCTCTTTACCAACAGATGCAAACGCCTTCATCCTCTGATGATGGTCAGACAAGATTCCAGTGACTGCATTACCTGGCAGAATTGGCCACAGCCCTCAAACCACACGCACGCACTCCTCATCAACAGCTCAGAATCAACAAGTTATCGCTAAACTGGGCGCTCCAGCCCAGATCTGTACTGCCTCCCCCGCGCCCACCGCCACCTACACCTGCTCTGCTCCAACCTGGCCTCTCCCGAAGGTCCTGTAAGCACGAACCTTCTGTTTCAGATCCGCCCTCGAGGCACGCCCCAACCCCAGCGCCTCTCCGGGCTCTCCCCGGGAGCTGCCAAACTCCGCCGCTCGCCAACCTAGTCTCCTGACAACGCCAGGCGTTCGCCGGGATCTTGCTTTTTCGGGGGCCGGAGAAAAGGAGAGGTCAAGATCTCCTACCGCCCAGGGTGGGCGGGGGAGGGGCGCCAGGTCGGGCTCCTCTGCCCTCGAAGTCCGAGCGGCAGTGGGCAGCGCTACCTGCCGCACTTCTCCAGGACTCCGCGCCCGCCCGGAGGGCGCACGTTCCCGAGGGAGCCAGAAACGCCCTGGGGGAGCCTGAAGCGAGCCAGGGGGGTCCCCTGAAGCCTACAAGTTTCCATCCTGTTCTCAAGCTGCAAGACGAGCTCTGCTCCCTCCTTTAAAGGCACCGCCGCCGACCCCGCTCCCGCAAGAGCAGACGACTGCCTCTCCTCCCCGCACCGGCGCCCCGCTTCAGCCGTTCCGGGCCGGAGCCCGAGAATCGCCCGCTACGCCCCGCCTCAGCACGGCCCCCAAAGTTGTCCGGACTCCCCAAAGCCCGCTTCTCCTCGGTCCCTGGACCCCGTCCAGAAGTTGGGCAGGCGTCTGCAGGTGGAACCTCTCTTGGTACCGGTCTCAGGGCGCTCACTTAGGGAATCTCGGCCGCAGCGAGGCCCGGGAAGCTGCAGCAAATGAGGGTGAGCAAACCCGGCGTGAGCCGGGGCGCCCGCTGCCGGCACCCTCAACCCTGCCCCGTCTCCCTCCTCAAAGTGAAGGAAACTTCCCCAGCACCCACCTTTAGCCGCGAGGAGGCGGCGCCGCCGGCTGCCCCCTCCGCCGCCGCCGCTGCCGCTCCCCACGCCCAGCGCCAGCAGGAGCGGCACCCAGCACAGCCTCCCGGTCAGCATCCTCGCCGCCGCCGCCGACGAGCTGTCTCCGCCGCCCACAACCCGCGCCGGCTGCGCCTCCAGGTACCCGCCCGGCGGCGGACAGCCCAGCCTTGTCCGCTGCGTGCGCTTCGGCGCCGCCGCGCTCGGCCTCCCGTACAGCCGCCGCGCCGCTCGCTCGCCGACAGCAGCCGCGCTCACTGGCTCGGACCCGGAGCGGCTCCGGCGCTCAACCCGGGACGGCCCGTGACGTCACGGAGGGTGGGAGGCGGCTCCTGCATATTCATGAGACGCGGACAGTGGCCCAGGCTTCCGCGCTCCCGGCGCTGCGGCCCCGACCCCAACTTTCCTCCGCCCTCCTTCTGTTCCAGCCCGGACTCAGCCCCGGGAGGGCCCTGGTGGGTGGCTGCAGGGAGCCCTTCAGCCCGCGCCTCAGCTCCGGCTCTCCAAAAAACTGCCTTAGGGGATGGCGGGCTCCCTCAGAAAGTGATCACTTGGGGCCTGAGCTTTGTCTGCGGGGCGCTGGGGACCCTGCCACGCCACGCCACGCCACGCCACGCCCTTGAAGCCGGCGCAGGCAGGCGGGCGGGCGTTGCTGCTGGTCCTGCCCTTGGCGGGGTCTCTGGACGCGGTCTGCTGTCTGGTCTGGGGAGGGCGCCAGGCACACGCGAGAGCTGAAAAGCGCGAGTGCTACTCCGGAGGTGTAGGGCAGGGCAAATCCCGGCGGACCAGGAGGGCAATGGCGGGACTCAGCGCCATCGTGGAGAGACAGACGCTGATGGACCACATCAGAAAAGGCAAACTTGGAATGCTGGGCCTGCTAAAGGTGCGGTGGGGACCACACATAAACTTCCCTGCAATATGGTGCCCAGGCCAGAAATCACCACCTCGGTGTCGTCACTCACACATTTTACGACCAGGCCACCTGAACTTCGTGCCTTGTAACAGACACCTCACGTCATTGATTAATGTCAGTTTCCTGAAGGCAGGATCAAGCACCTCTTCGACAGCCCCCACCACTCCTAGGGCAGGCCATTTTCATAATGGTGTTCAATAAACATTAACTAAAGGCTCAGAATAAATCCTTCACCATATTTGCATATATGTGGTGCCAGTATTATACACAGCTCAGGGCTTATAAGGGATAAATAAGGAAATAAGATATAGAAATAAAGAAACAAGAAGACAATATATTCATTGATTCAACACATTTACCGAGCACCTACATAGGTTGCATCACTCTGCCAGATTAGACATTAAAGATCCAAAGACCAAGGAGAGTTGGGTGTCATCTTCTCAAAGTCTTTGTTCCTACCCGAGAAGCAAGAGAAGGTGGTCAACAGCAATTACAGTGCTTTGTAAGTGTTATGGACCTGCATAATCTTTGTGTGCTAGATATGAGCTTATACAGATCAATTTTTTTAATGTGTATATTGCAACAGTGTCTAAACAGCATTCTATAATCAATGACTGTAGTTAGAGGTACTTGACGAAGCCATAAAATCCATTAACAGGCCTAGCTGCCCAGCCTCTCTGTACCACCCTGGCAGCTCACCTGGAGCCCAACCAGTTGTGAAGGCCAAACTTCTGCATTTCGGGGTACCAAGAAGTGCTTGGTGGGGAGGGGGTTGTGGACACAGGCAAGGCACTTCATCTGCAGGCCTCCTTTAACCCACATAACCAAGATCTGTCCTATTATTTCATTGCACATATGAGGAAATGGAGGCTCAAAGAAGCTAGGTAACCTCCTTGCCCAAGGTCAAAGAGCTAATAAACACCCTCAGCCAATGCCAAGGTCTCACCTTTTTGGACTTACCTTTTAGTCAGCATTCAGATAGGATGACATACAGAAGGGGGAGCTGACCCAGGCAATATCAGGGAAACTGGCAAATAAAAAATATAAATTTGTATTGTTTTCTTCCATTTATGCTCCATCCAATTATATATCTGCCTCCCCTTCATTTTCTCTAATAACTAGCTTACCTTACTGAATTACCTGCACTGTCCCCTGATGTCTATCTACTGGGTTTCACTAGTGATCTAGTGAATTTTAGGACTAATTGGTTAGTCCTAAAAATCTTACCTGAAATTTCAAATGAACACCAAATAATAAGAGAGAGGGAGAAATACACTGATTGGAAAACATTCCCAGCCCGTGTAGCAGATCACTAGGAAAGAACACAGCAGGATGAGACACCAGGGTCAGGCCAATGTCCAGGAAGCATAGCATTGTTAGCCTCCATCTCCTCTACAAATGGGGGTAATAATGGTGTCTACTGTGGAAGATCAAGTACACTAATGGCCCCCATCTGTTCACAGCTTCCTGAATCCATTCCCTTTGGATGTACTCTCTCACCCTAACTCAGGGCTTGGCCACATGACTTGCTTTGCCCAGTAGGACAGTAAGTAACATGCATGTTTCCTCTGCCTCTCATGGGCCCCTGCCACCACCATGAGAACCAGCCCAAGATAACCTGCAAGAGGGAGAGAGATCACACTGGGTAGAGCTGAGCTGCCTCAGACAGCCAAGTCCATCCTGGTTTGGTCTATACCAGTTGGCCCATCAGCTGACCACAGACAAGTGAGTAAGCCCAGCCAAGACCAGCCAAGCCTGGCTCACATCAGCACTGCCCAGCTGAGAATCAATAAGTGATTGTTGCATTAAGCCACAATATTTCCAGTTGATTAAGGAGCATGACACACTCTCCTAAGGTCATTATAAGAAGTAAATGAGAAAAATGAATGTGAAACACTCAGTATGTTACACAGTACATAGTCAATGTCCAATAAATTAAAAATCTCTCCCTTTTATCCAGTCATTGGATTTGTTTTGTTCGGGAGAAAGACACCAATGACCTGGCTTATTAGGAGGGATGAAGGTGAGTAAATTCAATCCTTGGAAATAGCCCACAGGGGCTTCAAGACCACATCATCTGTATGGAGCACTGCCCTATTCTCTGTTTCTGCTAGACTATTGAAAATGCAAAAAGTGGGTAAAACAACCCAACAGCTAAATGTGTCCCCATTCACTCAGTGCCCGACTTTGGAACAGGATTTCACATTCCACACTTCATTTAATCCTTGCAATAACAATAGGTGTCACTTCCCCTACTTTATTTTAACCAAAATACTGTCTCAGAAAGTTTGAGTAACTTACTTGCATTCACATAATTGTGCAGAATATGAATTCATGTCTGCCTAATTCTAAATTCCATCTTTCTCCCACACTTCATGGTTTTGAGAAGAGCATGCAGAGTAAGCAAGCAACAAAAAAAATTGTTTCAAATCAGAAATGGTATCTTTGGGGATTCGATTTTTTGTAATCTCCATCCATTATCACCTCTGAATAATGACCATTTAAAAAACCAATTGTCACTGAAGTGATTCAACCTTCTGAATTTGTTGAGGCTGCACCCTTTATTCTTGACCCACTGTTGGGGCATGTTCCTTCACAGACCTTGCTCCAAAAAAAGAAAAAGAAAAAGAAAATGGTGAGCAGGATGATGGAAGGCCTTGGTCACTTTAAGCTCCAAGCCCAGGACCTACCTGGTGATGCAGAAATAAACCTCAGACAATTTATTTGGGTCAATAGTTTAAAATAAATAAACAAACAACTCTCCAGTTCAAAAAATATGTATGTAGAACCTAACAGTAACAGGCCTGACATAAACACAGCCATCCCAGCTCATTTTCACCAGGCTCATTAATGCCTTGCCCAATTAAGCACCAAGATACAGTCTCTGAATAATTTAAACTAGATAAATGAAGAAAGTAAATAAATTATAGCAGCTTATGGAAACTTGTTTCAAAAAGAAAATTAAACTGAGGCTTTTTTACATGACCTAAATTTAATTCAACTGAAAGTATTTAACTTTTTAAAAAAGGTTGAAAAGCTGATTCTAAAAGAGCTTGGCATCATTTGCTGTTTCTCTCCCCAGTCTTGGCCGGCAGAGCCAGGTCTCCGGGACCCACAGAGACTGGACAGGTTACAGGGTTCAGCATTGCTCTCAGATGTTTTGGTGCTGCCAAGCAGCTTTTTTCAAGTTTAGACATTTCTCTTCAGGAAAAAGCAAAAAGGCTTGTTCATGATCAAATCCAATTCATGTTCAACATTGTTTAGACATGAGTATTCTATGCTTGGTAAGGCAGAGTGCCCTAACTGAAAACACAAATGTCATTGATTATAGCAAGAAATTATTCCCGTATAGTCTCCTATACTTTCCTTGAACCTGTGTACCCTGTGGTGGTTAAAAAAAAAAAACCACAGTCATAAAATTCAGTAAAACTTCTCCCATTGAAGACTTGGTTGTCTCTGAAGAGAGACACCTCTCCTTAAATCTGAGCAGTCTTGTGACTGCCCCTACCGATACACTTTGGCAGAAGTGATGCTATGTAACTTCCCAGACTAGATCATAAAGGCGACACAGCTTCTGCCTTGGGCACTAGGATGCTCATTTTTGGAGCCTGAAGCCTCCACGTACAAAGTCAAGCCACCCTGAGGCTGCCATGTTGGGAAGACCCCAAGCCACGTGAAAAGGCTGCATGGAGTTGCATTGCCAGCCCCAGGTGAGTCCAATATTTGGGTCACCCCCAGCACCTCCCGATTCCATTTCCTAGCTGCTGAGTCACCTTCAGCTGTTTGAATTTTCCCAGCTGAGCCTCAGACATCAAAAAAAGAGAGTAATTCTCTTTTTCACACTATGCCCTACCTGAATTTCCAACACAGATTCCCTGAGTCTAAAGAAGTAGTTGCTTATTCCACTAATTTTGGAGTGGTTTATAATGCATCAAGAGTAGCTAGAACATACTTGTTGTCATTTTTCCCCTACAATAATGACTGAGAAAAGGGAAACGTGAGGTAAATCATGTGTAATTAGTCCCATTTTGTAGCTCAAATGTTGAGACTTATAGAAACCAATAGAAGGAACCAGTAGAGCTTAGTGGAAAGAAAATGATTTCTAGAATCAGAAAAACCTAGGTTCCAAACTCATCTCATCTCTGCCATTTTCTAACCATGTATGACTCAAGAAAGCCACTTACTCTGTTTGAACCTTAGTTTCCTCATTGATTAATGGGGACTAACATAACAGGGTTGTTTTTAAGGTTCAATGAATTGTAAAGAGATTTCCCTGCCAGATGGTAGAGACGTGGGAAATACAGCCACTGACAGTGATAGTAGAAACTCACCCAGGGCCACACAGGTCATTGGCAGCCATTTTTCTGACTGGTTCCTGTCCAGAATTTGTTGTTTTCTCTGCAGGCAAAATGTGGACAGATATGGACACAATGGAACCACACCAGCTTCAGCCCTTCCAGCACCTTTGCCAACACTGCCACGAGCAGAACCAGCCCACATGCCAGGGCAGTTCAGATGTGCTGTGAGCACCTAAATCTATCTGTCTGTCATTTCAGGACTTTGTCCCACCAAGGGGAATGAGAAGGAACATTCCATTTATTGAGCAGCTACTATGAGCCAGACATTATACACATTGCCTCATTCATTTACAGCTCTG